GTAAACAATGACATCAAAATTGCTGAAGAAAAAACAAATTCAGTATCTTTAAAAGGATGATGAGAAAGTGTTGCAGTATCATAGAAGGTGTGTTACAATATTATTAAGCTGACACACAAAAGTACTTAATCAACGCCAAGTACTTTATAAAGTATATGAATTCCAAGTTAAACATCAGCTTATTTTTCCTCAGTAAGCTTATAAAACAGCTAGAAACTGTCATAAATGCTGCAGCTTTACACAAAGTTGTTTAACAGACTAGAACAGGTTTTCACAGTGTATTACATTAATTCATAGCACATTTCAACTTACTCAGATATTGACTGCCACTTTTGCTCCTGATCTATGTGGTTTGCAGCTGTTGCCAGACATACTGAACTTCTCAAAAGCTGTACTTCAACTGCTTTTTGAAGTTCTCTTGGATCAGGACTCAGCATATTAGGAAGGAGCTTCTTCATGTCTACATGGAGATTAAACAATTGAAATCAACTAGAACTGCCAAATTCTATCATGTTTCACCATCTGAGAATGTATTTTTGACAGTAAGGAAGTTAGGGAAAAAAATACCTCTTTTAAAAATACATATAGTTTATATGTGTACGCATTCAGAATAGAAATTAATCACAGATTACTTATAAACAGACACATTAATTCCAGAAAACACACTTGCATCAACATTTTTGATGACCACTGCCAATCATTTTGAAGCTTGATTCATAAAGGTTATGGCCATTCCACTGAACACAGCCCAGTACATGCAAAAGTTTCAGTCTGTCACTTATAGAGACAGACACATGAAGAAATATTTACATTTGCATTTGAAGTAATATTTAATTTATGCATTTATACCTATTTTTTCTTTGGATCCCCCTGCAAGCAGGTTGATATTTTCTCCTGGTAGTAATTCTAGTTGTTCAGTGCACTCAGTAAGTTGTCCAGACTCAAAGCTGCTCAAAGATCTGCAATTCAACATTTATAGTTTTATTTTTGTATTTCTTACTTCACTCCACCTGCTAAGTACATTACATGGCAAAAAGACTCAAGACAAACTCCAAATCCTACAGAGCACTAATGATTAATTCTAAGCAAAAATCTCAATTATCACACACATCAACAAAAAGCACTAGTTCTGCACCAAATGAATTAATCCAGTACCAAAGAGAAATAAGAGCCCCTTTCTCTGAAAAAAAGCCTTTTCTGACCTGTAAGATTTTATTCCACTGCTTCCTTTGATGCTTTTATTTTCAGGTCAAGATATTTCAGCCAGAAGGATTTTACTATTTTTACCACAATCATGCAGAAATAGAAAGCAATCAAGTTGTCCAAAATAAACTATCCTTAAAATTTGAATGTCTATTCAATGATACAAGTATTTTTTCATGAATCAGGAAAATATCAAAGGTCAAGAAATAAATCCACAAGCTACAATTCTAAATTTCATTTTAAGAAGAAACAAAACTAAAAAATTCAGCAGCCAAGACCATTTCTTTCCTATACTTTTTCCATTAAATTAGTAAATTAAGATATTGTTAAGAACCACTGAAATACATTTTTATTTAAGTTGTACAAAAGGATTCATCTTCTGCTGAGTAAAGCAGAATAAATTTGATATCTTTTTTCTTCAATGGTAGATTTTTTTTCTTGAATACTAAGCAGCCTCAGCAGCCAGAAAGCTACAGCAGCTATTTAGAATTATGTTACCTCTTCATTCATCTGTAAATGCCTGGCCAGGTTTTCACCCTCCCAAGAATACACCTTTCTTCTCTGCATGCCTCTACTTAGAAACTGACACCCAATTTTTTAAATCCATTAAAACTTTAATATTTCAGTTGTAAATCAATGAACTCTAAGACACTGTTGAATAAATTAATTATACCCTTACTTTATGTAGTTAAAATCTGCTTTCAGATTGATTGAGGTATTACTATTGCTCTTCTTCAGTTCATGGACCATGTTTTGCCACTCCTGAACAGCTGACCAGTCAGCAATGGAAATGTAACATTCACATGCCTTGTTACCCAGGTAGTTTATCACTTCAGGTGAAGAGTCACTTGGCTTAGTCAGAACTGTTTTCCTAGCTTCTCCTGTGAAATGAAGAAATGCTATATAAACACACAAATATGTATTTTCAAACAGCAGTTCTATTACTCAAACATTATTTCTATGTCTTTTGTCAAAAAAAAACTCTTACTTAAAAAAATCATCAAATAGTTACACAACTTTTACAGTATTCTTCCACTGACACTTGTTCTGAGAAAAAAATAACCCTTTCAAATGAGGTTTTGAAAAAATTTAGTTCATATCTAAAGAAGCATCAAAACAGAAAAACAGAACAACTAAATTAGCAACAAAGGAGGTTCATTTTCCAAGATGAAACAGAATGCTGCAGTCAAGTCTTAGTAGTTAAAAACCTCTGAGTAACTAGTGCACTTATGATACAATTATGTCATAAACCCTAAGGTTTAAGTTATGATGATCTAAAATAAACTAGATTTAAACTAGGAACTTACAG